AGTTAAGATCTTCATTCTTTTTATTCAGAATCATTAGGACTTGCCGTCTGTGAGAAACAACGTGCTTCAACTGTGGAGACTTACAACCTGACGGCATTTTTCTGATCGCAGAAACAATTTTTCCATGCCGCGACAATTCTCTCACCAACAATTCATCACTAATGAACGGGGGTATATTCCCAATCGTAACTTTTTTAGCTGGGGTACTCAAAGGGGAAACGGACAAAAAAACATCATTCACAATAATGCCTTTCTCAATCACTTTGTTTGCCTTCTCCACGCTGTCAACAAAAATGACCACAGCGCTGTTCATCCGAGCATATATCACAACTGATATCACAATATTTACCAATATTAATATCTAATATTGTGCAGCCCTATAACAAAACTGAATTTTTTTAAACGTTGGCAAATTGCTTTATGTATTAAACTAACATCTCCACACACTTATTTCAGACCTTTATGTTTCCTTTTTGTTCTATTTCACAAGAATGCACTCCATTGTTTTGGTCTATTACATAAAATCCCAATAAAACAGATTCATGTTTATGGTTGTAAGAAGAAAAAGTGTGAAAAGTTTTCATGGAACTGTAGAAATGTGCTCACCATGTGCCTTAGACCATGATTAGCATCAGTTGTCCTTGCTAGCAGTCAAGCTAGTAACACCTCTCTCCACAGCACTTCGTAACATGACAATGAATGTTTAAAACTGTAAAATATTATATTCCACTTCTTGTTGGTACAGTGATCAGGTAGAATGCTGCAAACCAGGACACGCACATAAAGAAGTGGAACTTTTTTGCATATTTTTGCTAATAAGCATCACTGTAAAGCTTTAAATACTTTAAAAAAATTCAATGTTTTTTTGTAGCCTTTCAGTTAAATTCAGTCATGTTTAACCAATCCTGGTGAGAAATTTGAGGTTTCCTGCAAAAATCCCACCATTAAACCAAAAGATTTTAGGCTGTTACACCTTATTTAGGTAACTTACAGTAGAGCTGTTGATTTTTTTACTGATAATTTACTGGAGTTTTCTCTATTTTTCAGCACATTGTGAGACTTTTTGGACAAAAGAAGACAAAGAAAAAAAAGGAGTAGATTATGTGTCTGAAAGTTCACCAGTATAAATAAACCCATATTCATTTCTCTTTGTGTCTGCTAATGTCCATGTTTCTGGTCACAGTGGAGCTCAGATACCTGGTAATGCCTGCAATAAGACCTTTTTACCACCTCTTACCTCTTCACCTATACCCCGCTCTACTTTTATAGTCAACGTGTGTGCGTGCATGAGTGTGTGTTTGCGTCAGAGCTCTCAGAGAGGACCCTGGGACCCTCCTCAACAGAGAGAGCTTTTAGCTCTTCCTCGCTAATGTCCTGAATAATGGCATCTTGATGGAGACGGAGCACAGGGAAAAGAGGCAGAAGGGGGGACAGAGACAGAAAGAAAGACAGAATGAGAAACCTGCGACCACGTGTCTTTACCTGCCGAGCGGGACCACCATTATTCCCTCTCTCAGCCCTTCTGGTTTCATTATTCCCTCTTTGTGTTTTTCAGGATGATGATCCAGACATTTTGTAAGGAGTCCCTCCCTCCATCCATCCTTTTAGCAGCTGCAACTTTTCATAACAATGTAGCATTATGGAAGAAAAGCTTTCATGTTTTAACACCAAAAAGTTTCATCTAGGCGTACAAAGAAGTAATAGTAACTCTGGATCTGAATGCTAAAAAAAAAAAAAAAACAGGAAGTGGATGTGATACAACATATGCGTGTCCCTCTTCAGTGTGCGGCTGAAACAGAAAAAGTGGAACTGGAATAAAACTGCTCAAGACTTACAAGATAGACGCTGCTTCCCGTTTTTTTCCCACAACGATGTCACACGAGCAGCTGCTGCGAGCTGAGATTGTTCTTTCCGTGTTTCTGCGCGGCGAAGTGCCGCTTTTCATGCCCAGGTCCACCTCGGTCGCTCTCATTTGGTTCAAATCTGGCGTTAGCAGCAGCTAATGGCAGCGGCCGCACCACCGTAACATTCGTTTGCGTCACATGCGGCATCAAATACTGACTACGATTCGGTGTGAGAAAAAAAGACTTAAAAGCGCCACTCAAGATCTGTTTTCAACAGTTTTCTTCATATTTTCTCTTTCTGAAAAACGAGGGAAAATGTGACCTCCACCTGTGTTTGTTGCTTTTGACTTTTTTGTTAAAACCTGAAAATAAGTGAATTAGAATTTTGGAACAAAAGAAAAATCATAATACATATATTCAATTTTCACAGAAAGATCTATTTCAAGCTTTATTTTTGTTTATTGATTTTTGCATGGTTTATGACTAATTATAAACCAATATGGAGTTTCAAAAAAATAAAATTAATAATTCAAAAGGAATTTTAATCCAGAATTGGAATGTTAGGACTAACATAATCATACTAACACCTATCCACAAAAAAAAAAAAAAAAAAATCATTTGTAAAGCTCTGTCTAGGCATTTTAATGGAAAGTTTAATGGAATGAAGAAGTTTAAAAAAACTAACTGCAGTACTGGGCTGAATGAAGTTTCCAACACATTAGCCCTCTATGGCATGGCATTGCCCTCAGGCAACAAACCATATATCTGTATCTCATGTTGCTCCTTTATTTTATTTTTGGGGGTTGGTGATTTAAAATATCTCCAGAAATATTTTTGTCCAAATAAAAGAGGTATTGAAGTTCATGTGACCTTTTACTTGGAAGAGGAGCAGTCCTTTTTATGAAGCAGAGGTCCATGCTACACCTTGCCTCCTACTTGTAAGTTATACATCACTTTTCTTCATGTTTAAATTTGGGTCACTCCAACTAAAAATATTCTCATATCTGTGAGTATGTAAAGAAGCATTATAGATAATTTCAAGACATTTTTTTTTATAATTTATATGCTAAAACTGTGTTGTTTTTTTTGTTTGTTGCCTCAGAGCAACATTGCGCAGTTGGGGCCCTTTTGCTCAGACAATATTATTCTAATGCAATGATATGCAATTGATTACAAAATAATTATCACAGCCAATTTTTTTGACTTTATTATTGACTAACAGCAACAGGAGATGGATGCAAGGTCATTTCATGGACAAAAGGTGCATGGTTCATAAGCTGGGGTCATTCCCAATGAAAACATGAGGATCCATTGTACAACCATTATTTCATTGTTTGTTTATCCTCAAAACTAACTTCAGTCCCAAAGGGTGATAAGCTGGTCATCAATGAACAAATGGCCCCATTCCAAGGCAGGCAAAGACTGAAGCAATACCTGCCAAATCCAAAAATATGGGTCTGCAGGGTACTTTGTATGACTGGTGCAGATGGTGTTCCTTACAACCTATACAGGGCGAGTTGTGCAACCACCAAATCTACCAGATATGGGAGCTGGTGGAATGGTATCCTTTGCTTGGTTCAAATTCTAACAAAGAATCAAAACTACAAACTCTTAAAAAAAGAATCTGCACCCCTAACTATAGTGACTGATGTGAATCTGGTTGCTACAACCCATAGATAATCAGATAAACAGATAGTGAGTCCCAGGTACACCAATAATCAAGTTCCAAAAATGTGATATACACTCTTTTTCACATCAGCAAGCAATTCCTTCCTGATGTTTAACATATAATAGGGAAAAAGACTGATTTCAACATCCTTAGTTATTCTAACTCCGCCAAACATACACATGTACAAACACACAAATGCTTGTTTTAGTAATTTGCTCCAATGTATCATTCATTAATGAAGGTTAGTTGTTTATTTTATATTTGGTGAGTTGGAACCATGTCTGATTTATTTTTGTCAAAAAAAGTTTTTTTTTTTTATGAATATAGTTTTTGTTTGATTTGTATTTCATTTCTCATAATCACTGTAGAAAACTTGGCGTTTTAGACCCCTTGTAGCACAATGTTGCCCTGAGGCAACAAACCCAAATCCGGTTCTGGGAGGTGTCGGGGTCCAATTTTATGATTGATATGTAATTAAGGGCCAATAAGCTCCCAAAGAATGCAGGAAAATATTTTTTCCCCAAAAAAATAAAAAGTCATGCCATAGAAGGTTAAAATGCAATTTCTATTCTTAAAATTATTTTTTAGGAATTCACTTCAAAAAGTGAAATTTATATTTTCTTTAGATTTATTACACTTAGAGTGAAATATTTTCAGTGTTTTCGTTTTATGATCATAGCTTTGACCAAATGAAAAGCTCTGCTTCAGTCGTCCTCAAAAAGAAGAGAGGACGACTGCATTTTAAAACAGATGAAAAAGAACATCTATGTAAAAGATATGACCTAAATGATTTTCTGGATTGTTCCAGAAACTGCTGTATCAACACAGCAGACAACCTACTTAGCTTATCTGTAATGTCAAGAGGAAGATGAGAGACACCAAACAGATCTTCTGCTTCACTATCCTCTTAAGAAAGTGCAACTTTTTCTTCCAGAGTTTTTCCTTCCACCAAACTTTCCACTAATCTGCTTGGAAACAACACTCTAAACACCCAGCCTCCTTAGCGATGACCTTTTCTGCCTCCTTCTCTCGCTTCCCAGCTGTAACATAAAAATTTCTATTTAAAAAAAATTCTAATTCACTGTAAGCAAAAACATCAGAATTAACAGCTTAGAAAAAAAACAAAGTTTGGACTGAATTATGATAATAATATACTGAGGTGCTCCTGTTTGAGTGTTGGCCAGCTGAGACTGGAAGGTCGGTGTGTGTGGACAGTTTAGACAGTTTAGAAATTGTTTTCTTTGCGTTTTACAAATTGAAGCACACACACTCTCTCCCTGTCTTTCCTTCTTTCTCTGTGCGTGTGTGTGTGTACGTGTGTGCGTGTGCGCGTGTGTGTTTGCTAATGACTGCCCCACACAGCACTTTCTAGAACTGCTCATTGAAGCATCGGGTAATTAAATATATTTCAACAGCAGATATTTTAAAGATTAAAGTTTGATAGAAAGGTGGAATTTATTTCTACTTCGGTGTTCTCTAAATAAAACCCTGAAATGGAACTATAGCTCTGATTTATTTCCTTTCTTTGAATAATAATAAAAAAAATACATATTTTGCTTTCATTTTCACGAAACTGACTGTTCCCCCTCCTCTTTCCTAAAATAATTCCTTCCATTTCGGCCTTACATGAAACCATTTCCGCCCTAAAAGAATGAATATCTATGATCTGCTCCCTCGGTGCCAACAGTCTAAATATCCGCGCATGTTAGAAGCTGCAGCATCCATGCCACCTCACTTATTACATATGAGTCAGAACGTTATGATTGCAGAGTATTTAAGATAAAACAATCGAGGCCTTGACTGGAACATGAGTTCCATTTTTATATTTGTTTAAAGGCTCCAAACGGCGCCGTAAAAGGCTGAGTAGCGCAGCGACTCACGGCGCTTAGGACACTTTTAAGGAGCCGCTCCCACATCTAATGCTGCAGGAAAAAAATAAAAATAAAATAAAATAAATCAAAAAATATTTTACATTTTCATTTAGCTCTTTAATTATTTTTGTGGTTTAAGAAGTTTGAAGCGAATTGGAATGTGAGCGTAGAAGGGGGGAAGATAATTTATTTTAGTTGGGGAAAAAACTAATTAATACTTTAAAAACTTTATAGAAATTCTTTAGTTTTGTTCTGTTTTTGAATGAAGTCGGCTGAGAGTAAAAAATAAGTTCAATGAAACCACAGAGTTGGGCTCGTGCTGTCTTTCTAAGCTCCTTATGTTTATGTTTTTGCTGGAACGCCGCTCGCCTTTTCACGTCCAACAGCCTCGCCGACTTATCCGCGAGCTCTGACAGTGATGGCACGCGGAGGACCGAACGCGCTTATTCCAAACGGTTTATTTTTATTTTAGGTCTGTATGGAATTTTGAAAATAACTTATTTTTTTAGTAAAAATTCAGGAAATTACTGGCGATGATTAAAAAAATCTTTTTCATAATTTGACTTTTGTATTTTTCCCCAAAGTTATTCCCTTATGAAGAAAAGGTTTTTCTCTTTTATCTCTGTTCATTTGAACTCTTGAGTTCGTAAAATAAAACATCACAATAATAAAAAATAGTTCAGTAAATAAAATAAAAAAATAGAAAGTGAAAGTTGATATTTTAAAAATGTAGAATGAAAAAAGCTGAAAAGAGCAGGTTTATTTTTATTACTACTATTATTATTTCTGGTGTTGTAAAATAGTTTTTCATTAAAACTGATTTATCTCTATAACTTAACATCAGTTTAAACAGCTAATAAGTGAATGAAATGAGGAAGTCCCAGTTTACCCCTCATGCTCTCTCCACTCTGACTGCGCGCCTTCTTATAAATAATATCCCCCTCTTCCCCCCCACCCCGCCGGTTCCTCGTCCTTATTGGTCAGACGGAGCCGTTACCTCACTCTGGGACCGGTGACGCAGCGTCTTCGCGTATCCTTCTCTTTTTTCCCCTTCCTCCCCTTCCTTCTTGTTCCTTTACGCGGAGAGTCTTCCAGTCCGCTCAGACGGGATAAAGAGGCGCGGAGACGCGGAGCCGGCGCAGGGGTGCGCTCGATAACTAAACACTTCCATCCCGGTAGGAGAGCGGCGCGCAGGAACACACGCTCTCTCCATCTCCGAGCGTCTCCTTTTACTCTCTCTCTCTCTCTCTCTCTCTCTCTTTCACTCACTCACCCTCTCCCTCTTCGTCCCGCGCACACACGCACGCTCTGCGCGCACACGCGTACGTCTCAACTTGGCCGTAGTAAATTACGGCATTGATGTGAAGGGCGAGTGTGGATCTGTCTCTTCTGTTCGCTCCTTTGCTCGACGGAAGGATTCTGGGAGGCGCAGAGGAGAGAAGTAAGTAGAAAAGCATTCGAACGGTCTGCTTTATCCACCGCAGCTCAACTTTACGCCTCAAATATTTTAGTTTGCTCCGTTTTCAAGTTATCTCCAAACGTGAGCACAGAAAACAGATCAAAGTTCACAGGCTAGCACTGATCCGCTGTTTTCTTATGTACATATTTTACCTTTTCCATCTGTTTAGTCTTTTAGTTTGGATCACCAACAGAGCGGAAGGTGTATCCAGTTTCCCTCTCAGCTGGTTTCTAGATTAAGACAAAATGCAAAGAAATGTCTTTCTAGATGAAAATGTGCGCAGTGTGTCATTATGGTGAACTTATTGTTGTTTGGAACATGACAAACGTCCCCGGGTCTCCAGGTCTCCTGTGCGTAAAACTCCGGATTCGGAGCGCACATTAACTTGAACTTTAGATTTCAGACTCTCATTTAATTTTAGGTAAAAAAAAATAAAAAATAAAAAAAAAATGTCTGGAGGTGTAAAAAGTAGATTTGCAGATTTTATTTTATTCTATTGTCAGATTTAAATGTAAAACAAAGTGCTGATAAAACCTTCAGATTAAACTTAATTCCACTCCTGCATCTTGTTTATTCCCTCCTTACATGTTAAAATAGTCATTACCAGCATTCTTCCAGTTTCACTTCTCATTTGCAGAGATGTTTTTCCTGCTATTTACATTCAGAGTAAAACTTAAGTTTCGGTTTTGACACCAAAACCTCACTTGCGCACCCCTCTCACATCTCCTTTTCAGTCAGTCTCACCTTTAAAGCTTCCAACTTTCATCTGTGTGGAGGAGAAAATGTGTAAATGTTTCAAGTTTGAAGGAGATACCTGCTGTTTTTCAATCAAGTGCAAAGTGTCACTTTTAGATAAATCTCAGTTCAAATAATGCAATATGTGTATGAATGCATTTGTTTTATTCAAAAATAATATTTTATAGAAAATCTTTGAAGCATCCTAGTTCTGCAGAAGTGCATGCTTTATTTTGTGAGTCATTTTCCAACAATGACTGACCGTGAAATCCTTTGCAAAACAGATGCAAACTGTGACACGGACAGCGTTGCTTGTGTGGGTGTGTGAGATGGTAATAACCTGCTTCCACAACAGTTTCAAATTTTTCTCCGTTTTGAGAAAAACAAAACAAGAAAAAAACACAAAAAAAAACAGGGGGAAAGAAAAACTTTGTCATTTGATGAAGCTGAACATTGATAGATGAATCAGTGAGAGTTTCAAATATATAAAAAAAGATAATTGCAGCTTATAAATGCTGCAATTGGAGAACTGAATAAGTTAAAAATGTATTACTTAGGCTTTTAGATGCACTGGTGGTGGAAGTTTCTGCCATACAGGTCAGACGAACAATATACGGTAGCCATAACTGCCCAAAAAGGCATTGAAAAATAAATAGCATGACTCAAGTTATGAACATATTCAAACAGTTCCAGTCTTTTATCCCTGTACTTTTACTTCAAATCTAAACATGAAATTTCAATCTCAAATCAGTTAAATTTATATGGAATAATATAAATTTAAAATCTCGGCTCATTTACATGAAAGCTGATTGTCGTAAATGTTACTTTTTGTTTTGTTGTTTGGATCGTCTTCTTTTTCCTCTCTCTCCTCCCTCTTCATGTTGTCGCTTACAGAAATTCAAAGTAAAATTATCTGTAGGCTAATTATTTTTTCTAATTTCATAGTGGAAAAGGATTAATGGGCTGCATTGTGAAATTTTGCGGGCAAACGTCACTTTGACCTTTCTTGTTTACTTAAAAACAGGTCCAATGTCCATCTATTGGGAAACAAACAGAAAGCTGGATTCGCTTCTTTACCTCCAGGGTAAATTCTGTCAGAATACAAGTTTTACTTAACTGAAAAATAGACCTGTTGGACTATAATGTGATTCTTTCACTTGCATTTAGAAATGCAAGTGAAAGAATGCAGAGCAACAGTAAGAAAAAGCTTCTGTTTTTATTTTCATGACTGGAACGAAGCCTTAAATTTGGTTTATGTGTGTAGAGCCAAGCTGATCAATATTTGAATATATTCTCCTGTAGGAAAAAAAAAACAACCTTTCGTCAGTTGACAACATTCACAATCCTGACTCCTCTTTGACAAACAGAATACAAAACCAATTAATCTCAAAGAAAGGCGATTTAAAAGTAAATCAGAACACAATTTGGATGAAAACATTTCATTTCGTCTTCAGAGTGGGGAGGAATGCCTCTGACAGTAGGAACCTGTTGACTCCTCCCGGCTTCTTCCAAAATGCAGAAATCAAGGTTACCCCTCAATAGGAGGCAGCAGGATTGGGAAATTATTTTTGTTTCTCCAAACAGGTGTTTGAGATATTTTAAAGAGTTTCTATCGGTGGTTCTCTTGGGTTATTTTTAATAAGAGCAACAAGTTCTTTCTTCACTGATAAAAGTGACTCACTTTTGTTCTTCTGAGATTTTTCTGCCCTTTTGTCTCCTTGACACTAACTACACATTCCAATTTGTCTTGATTATGTTTCTTAATGACCAGGCTAATCCTTTCACTGTCCATTTGACTGTGAGGCCCCCTGGACATGCCTGTTTAGTTGCCCTGCGTGATGCCTGATCATGACAGCACCACCCTCTTAACCAGACAAACCAAACGCAGACGTGTCGACATCGGGGTGAAAAGGACTGTGGGTAGCGCGATATTTCCCCGTGCCCGGGAGACCCTTCTCGAAGCCATGAACCAGTCGCACGGCCCTGATCAGGACGGAGATCTCTCCCTGGTGAGTCATGGCCACGGGGCCGCCAACAGTGACGGAGAGAAGTCAAATGTCCTCAGAAAGCTGCTGAAAAGGGCCAACTCTTATGAAGACGTCATGATGCCTTTTCCTGGGGCTACAATCATCTCCCATTTATTGAAAAACAACCTGGGGAAGAATGGAGGGAGTGACTCAGGCTTTCAGGTATGAGTTGATCTGCAGATCCTAGTGAGATTTTAAAAAAAGTCCTTAACTTTAAAGTCTGAATGAAGCTGCTGTTCTTTATTGCAGGGTAGTGGAGCTCTGTCCAGTGGAGGTTCGGAGATTCAGGCCGAAGACGCCTGTAGTAACTCTTCGAGGGACAGTCCATCCGACTGTCTTTCTCCTGGTCCTCCTCTACCTCCTCCATCGTCTTCTAACTTTGGACGACCGTTGCCGCCCTCAAATCACATTTCTCACACCTCTTCTCAATCTTTATCCTCCTTTGACTTGGACCGACTGTCGGACGAGCATCTCCGTGCCAAGAGGGCCCGCGTGGAAAACATCATCCGCGGAATGAGTCACTCCCCATTGGTCCGTCCCAGTGGCAGTGACCACAACCAGGAGGGCAATCGTGAGAATGAAAACGGCAGCAGCAACAGTAACGACCACAGAGGAGAGGACGTCAGTCATAACAGCAGCCACCGTGGCGATTGTCCTTCCCTCCTCCGCTCTCCTGGTTCGCGAGGCGGTGTGGTTGGCATCGGCGAGGTTTACAGAGAGAATAAGAGGAAACAACGTCTCCCACAGCAGCAACACAGCTTCACCCAGCTAGTTTGTTCCAGACAGGAGCAGAGACAGGAAGAGAGAAGGCAGCTCAAACTACAACTTGAAGACATGCAGGTAAATAGATCTTTTAGTATAGATCTCCACAATTGTTTACCAAATTGTTCTCTAGTAGAATTCTTATTCTTATAGCAGAATTTGAGATAATAGAAAGATCAACCTATGTGTTTTTTGTTGTTTTTTTCTTTTTCAGAAACAACTGCGCCAACTTCAAGAGAAGTTCTACCAAATCTATGACTCTGAGACAGAAGAAGAGGAAGAAAACATAGTGAATGGAGAGGTCAACCGAGGAGGAGATAGAGAGGAGGATGGCAACCTTTCAGAGGACAGTATCCGCTCTGATGGCCTGGAGGAGAGGCACAGAGACAGAGGGCGGCATAACCATGATGATCTTTCCGAGTTGGACCCGGGACTTTTCCTGGACAGAGCCCGAGCCCTCCTCCGAGAGCAAGCCTTGATAGATGGAGAAATGGAGGAAGATGCTGACAGCCGAGAAGAGGAGGAAAGAAATGGAGAAAGGGTGATGAAGAGGAGAGTGGTAGCAGGAGGTGGGGGAGGAAGTGGCCGGCAGCTGGCCGAGACTCTAAAGCAGGAGCTGAACTGTGCCGTGTCACAGGTTGTTGACACCGTCGTCAAAGGCTTCTCCTCACCCAAGCAGAACGCCGGTCACCATCATGGCTGCCACAGCAGTACGCCAGCTGCACCTTCTTCCTCCAACTCATCCTCATCCTGTCCACCTCCTTTCGGGCCACTGCCCCCGCTTACCCCAGAGTCTCGCTTTGGTGGTGGTAATTTGGCACTCAACTTGAATGGTGAAGGCAGTCCCACCCCTAACTATCATTCCTCCAACCAGAGGCTGCATTGCTTTGGGGATGTAATTGTCCCTAGCCCTCTAGATTCATTCGGTGGTCTGAGTAGCAGGCTTAGTGGTGTGCCAACACCCAACGATCAAACAGAGGCTCTGCCGCTGGTAGTGCGCAAGAGTGGGAGTGCAGTAGAGACCCCCAATCCTTCTCTTCCTCCACCTCCACCTCCTCATCATCCCTCCCTCCACCCATCTCCACTCACAGCTTCCCTTGGCTTTAGCCCTCCATCATTTCGCCACCCCTTTCCTCTTCCCTTCATGAGTTACCCTTTTGGGAATCCCCTAGGGTCACATGGGGCTGGAGGTGGCTACCCCTCAGGACCAAAAGACCACAGTCGGGTATCCCCTGACTCTATGGACATAACCCGGGAAACTGTCAGCCTCAGAACCAAAATGGCATCTCTTGGTGGGGCCCACATGGGTCACCATCACCACAGGCAGAGCTCCCCAAGCCACCATGGTCCAGAGGGCTTGTCACTGTCCCTCATCAAGTCAGAGTGTGGAGATCTGCAGGACATGACTGATATATCTCCCTACTCAGGCAGCACTGTATCCTTACCATGTGTTACCTGAATATTGAAGGTAATGTATAAAAACTGATATTTTAGATGAGGACTATGATTTGGATTAATCTAGAAAAATTCTGTTTAACAATCTTTGAAACTATTGAGAAGATTGGTCCAACTTCTCTTAGGTATGTTAAAACTTGTGAGTTTTCCGGTAAATGCCATAGTCACAATTGGGAGAAAATTTTAAACTAAATTTCAGTGAATAAAACATTTCATTTGAGCTTTTGAAACATGACATTAAAGACACGGCAAATACTAATTTGGAAGATGATCCACAAAATTGTTGCTATAATCCTAGATATTATTATTTTAGCTCTCTAGTCCACAAGAGTCAGATTTTTCATAATAGAGCGGCAGCAGGAGGCAAAGTGACAAAAAGTCTTTAATATCAATTAATCTGCATTAATTGGTTCCTGCTCTGAGCCTCTTGTTTCCTCAGTGAGTGGGAAGGATGAAAAGGGCGCACCGGGTCTTGCAAGAAGGGGAAGATTAAACAGGTTGCTCACTGCTCTCTCAAGCTCTTTTAAGTCTGTGCAGCAGGTTGTGTCGTTTAAAGGTGCAGAGTGAGCTCCCTCTTGAACATGCGGACACACACACACACACACACACATGTATACACGCACATACTGTGTGCACTGTCTGAGACACTTGGGTGCAGTTAGGTTCTCTTTCATCACAAAGACTTTGTACATAAATGCTCAAAGCAAATCATATTTCACTTTGTCTGAGTGCATGTGTGTGAAGTAAGACTTTGTTCACGTGCTCAAAGCTAATCATATTTCAAAGAGCATGACGGAGGAGCAGGCAAATATTTGGCTTTATTGACGGCAGCTTTCTAAATTTGTGCATATCAGTGTTGTGGGCAACAATAAGGAGAAGTGTAATATCTAAAAGCTGCACAGTTTCCTTTTTATCGTTTTTAGCTCAATCTCCTCCCTGCTAACGTTTTGGAACCCACCCACTCACTTTCATTTGTTGGCCCTTCGTTCTTAGTTGCCTGGCAGCTGTGTGTGTTTACCGTGCACACGCATGCATGTAGGAACACACACCTCGCCTTTCATGGCGCGTGCATGTCGACAGGTGTTTGCAGGTAGCTGTTTATCTTTTCATTCCTAACCTTTCATATGGAGAGGGCTTCTCCCGGCCATCTCACTTTGACTCACACAAGAGAGCAAACAGGCGCATGTGCACAGACGTGCACATTTGAACAACAAAGTAAAAAGAAAAATAAGACTTTGAACTAGGCAAATGGGTACTCCTTGCAGCTGTGATGGGGATTCGATCACAGTGTCGCCTTCAAAGCTGATTTAGATGTTGCTTTCATTGAAAAACAAGAAATATTTGACACAGCTCTTGATCCTCTTGAGCCGTTTCATACCAGGATGCCCCCCTATTCACTGTTATAGAAAAACAAATCTTTGAAATGGATTATTACTTCAAACACACTGACTGGGCTTTAAAAATATATATATTTTTTCTGATAAAATTGCTCATCTTGTCCTTTATCAAACAACAAATTTAGTTTCAACATAAAGAATAGAACAGATTTTAAAAGATGTATTTATAATAATTCAGAAAGTAATTAGGAGCTCTGATTTTTAAATTAGTTAAATTTGCAATTACTTTATGTTTTGTGCCTGTAACTTCAAGTAGACATAGCTTGATGTTGATTGAAATATTAAATAGATATTGAATGTTTTTCCAATTTGAAAAAAGCTAGAGACACAAATGGAAAACCTGAAATGATATCATCATTCCTGTATGCCCTACAATAGCAGTACCCTGCTAATGGTGCCGTTTTTTCCCCACGTTCTTTTTTTTTTTTTTTTTTTTACATTTTCTCAAATTCAAGACCACTAAATAAAACCAAATGCTGAACAACTAGTGGTAGACATGTCAAATGAAAAGCCTCTTTTGAATCAACCACTAGCTGGTATGCTAGTCCTCGCTAAAAATTCAATAGCTAGTGTGGAAATTTGAGGACATTTTTTTTTTATCATTAACATGGAGCTTATCACAAATGTTTCAGCACATTATGAGACTTCCTTTTCTTGTCTTGTTAGACAAATTTGTAAAAAAAAAATGTAAGTAGACAAATTCATACCCACACAATATGTTGACACACACACACACACACACACATATATATATATATATATATATATATATATATATATATATATATATATAAATTACGCCATTCTTTTTCTTGGTTGTTAATTGGTTATTAATTATAATTCAGAGTAAATATTGTGCAAAAAAGCTGATTTTTAAAATATTTTTAACTAAGTGTTGTTGAAACCTGCATTAATCAAAGTAATGCTGTTATATCTATCTCATTTGCATCAACAACAAAGGCAAATTATCTATTTATAGCACCAATACAGTGAGGACTATTCAACAAAAGAATGCCGTTTTGTGAATCTATGGCTGTTCCTGAGTCGAACTGAAATGAAACTGCATAAAACCTATGGCTCCTTTAGATTAGAAAAAAATGGTGTAGTTTTTGAGATAAATCTTGTTTCCAAAGCAACGGCTATGAAAGCAGTGTATGTGTCCATTAAATTTGTATTAAGGTGAACACAATGAAAATTTATTTAAATCATCTTTTTGTACCTGAGAAAGTCACACATGAAACATCCAAAACTGCAAAATTTAAAATTGTATAAATTATCAGCCATATAATGTATACAGCCATATAATATTACACATATGTGTATATGTGTACACATATAATATGTGTATATAATATAATATAATATAATATAATATAATATAATATAATATAATATAATATAATATAATATAATATAATATAATATAATATAATATAATATAGAAGTTGTTACTGGTATTTGCGGTTTCTTTGCTGCATTTTGCAATGATCATCCTTCACCTGAAAGGCTGTCTTTTGCAGTGAACACACTCAGGTCTGTGTATCTTTAATCCTTTGTACTGAGATGAGCAGATGTCCTCCATTCATTTATGAATTTATCCCTCCACCCTCCCTCTTTGCCTCTCAATCCAGCTCTTCCATTTACACACATGGACACACACACACAAGCGCACACACATACACACCTGGTAACAAGGTCAAGTTACTGCTGGTATAGTGAGCTCTGCACAACACTCACAGGCTCTTTGACAGATATGCATTAAGCTAAACACAAACCAATAGGAAGACAGGAGCAAATTGGGAGAAAGAGGAATGGAAGGAAAAAGAACATGTGTGTTGTTTATTCACAAACTCCCTTTAGCTACTGTTACACACACAAAAAAAAAACAATGTCTCATTTACTCTTTATTCATTATATTATCTCACAGTTGTTTACTCTGAGTCTCATTTTGTTTGTTTGTGTCCCAAAAGAAAAAGAACACAGACATCAAAATCCTAGACAAAATGTACCGAATAAGCACATGGTGACAGGTTGGTATGAATGTTAACAATGAGATTGGTGTTTTTTTGTCCTGTGCCCCATGCCTGATGAATCCAATGCTAAATGAATGATGGATGGATCACGTTGAGACTCACTTCTGGTTTAACATGATTGCTGCATCACGGCACTTTCCAGATGTTTCTTATTTATGGTTTGGAACATTGGCTGGGATTTTTTTTTTTTCGGGAACGGCAAATCTCTTAAAGATAAAAAGCACCAAATGATTATGTTTTCATATATTATTCTGTCATCAGATTTTTCCTTTTCCTGTTGTTTTTTCCACCAAATAGTTGATGCCACTCTTTCCTCTTTTCCAGCTGTACATGTCCCGTGAGGTTTTTGTGTGTGTGTGTGTGTGTGTGTGTGTGTGTGTGTGTGTTTGTGCGTGTGCGTGCGTGCATGTGCGTGCGTGTGCATGCTTGTGTGTGTGTTTCTGTGTGCTAATTGACCTTGCAGGGGGCTCCATTGATTGCCTCATCTTCTCTGATAGATTATAGGCCTTTTAATGTGGTGGGGAAATGGCAGGATGGTGGGGCACAGCTGTTGCCACCACACACACACGCATACACGCATGCACGCTACCACACACACACACACACACACACACACACACACACACTCTAACACTGAACACACAAGCGCTCGCCGCCCCTGAATCCAAGGCCCTTACAATTATTATTTTTGTCGCCGAGTCTGTGGGATGAAGGGATCTGTGGGATTTGATCAGAAGCCAGCAGGTGCTTGTGTTTGTTTTGGGTGTAACTTACTATATTCATCGCAAGACCAGGCCCACTTTGTTTATATCCATTTAGCCCTAAGTGTGATATAAAGTAAAAAAAAAACACTATATCTTCAGTACGTGGAAGTGTATATTTTGGTGTCTGCATTCGCAAATTTATTCAAAGATTCAAAAATCATCAATGCAAGTTTTCTGTTTGGAGACAAACGTTCATCCAAAACTGACAAATCTCTTTGCTTTGGCTACTTTTAATGTTTTGGGTGGAAAGCACTTTATCCTCACTGTTACAGTTTTTAGAAAACTGTCTGCCAAGTGACAATTTGTACCAGCTACACACCACCATGTTTTTATGTCATTGTTTTTCTTGATCATTAAGTTAGTTAAAATGTATTTTCTTGTACATTCCACATAGATTCTGTAGTAGCAATTGCAAATAAAAGTTAGTTTTTTTTCAAGTGGAATAAAAATGTCACCTGCTAGCCACAAACTAGCTTGATGCATGTAGTGGATGTTTCCTGTATGGGGAATGAGGATGTACAGTTGTGAAACACCAACCCCATTTTGCAGTAACAGCACTGAGCTGTGTAATTTGTAATGTTTTTTCTTTCTTGCTTGCTTTGCTTTTTTCTGTCCCTCACTGTCTCGCTCCATTGCTGCTAATAGTACTGAGCATACATCAAAGCTTGTTGAACAGTCATCCAGGTAGAACACTGCTCTAAATTTGCTTTAAAGAATTTTAAAAATCGAGGTTCTCGAATTGTTACATCTTCAAGTAAATTTCTATAGTTTCCGCATAGACTACTGTAAGTTAAGCAAAAAGAGATTACAACTAAGATAAGATTGGTGTGATCAGATTGGTGTAATAATTAGAAAAATATTCAAGCCTATCATAAGTGACATTTGAGCATTTTGACTTTAATCTACATAAGTCTTCAAAAGTACAACAAATAAAGAATATATGCAAAATGATTGTAGTTTGATAGATTGTTTTGAATATGTCCATCCAGAAAACTAGAAACACTAAAAATGCATTGAAATGTGTGTGATCATTTCTCCATAAACAATATATAAAATTTGAAATGAAATCGATTCTGAAAATTTTTAATTAGCTATCAACTGCTTGCTAAAAACAACAACTAGCAAGCAGTGTGCTTTTTAAAATAATTTTCAGCAAATTTTCTACTTTCTTGTAATGATTTTGACATAAAATACATAGAAAATAATAGAAAAAAACAAATTACAGGCATTTGTCATGTAGCTGTAAAAGTTTTTCAAATTCTGTATCATCTAGCTTTTTTTTTTTTTTTTTTAAAAGAAAAGCTGCTTCATCAGTAATTATGCATTGCATTGAACTTTAGTAAATAGTGATTTAATAATGATAGGCTATTCCAAAAAATAACTTTTATTTTCACTTCAATTTATTTCTTGATGGAAGTTGAAATTTGTCATTTTTCTCTTTTTGACAGCAGAAGAAACAAGCAGTTACTTTTCTTGACATATTGACGTAAAAAAAAAGAAAACACAAAATGTGACCAAAAAGAGACTGTAAGTGATTAAAATATGACAATACAAATACCTTTTGGGCATTTATAGCCTGAATTATTAAGTATGTTCAACAACCATGAAAGAAATTACTTAAACTGAAGGCAGGAGCTAATAGTTTGAGAAAACTATTACTAAACTCAGTTTTCCTTGTTGAGGTGAGGAGAAAATTTATGTTTCTGCTCAACTTCAACAGACATAAATAAATATTATCATTAGCAATGCATGAAATAATGAGAGAAGAACCTCCCTTATGTGTTTTTATTTTAAAAGATTTTGGCACCTTAACATATCATGATTCAGATTCAGGAGGGCTTGTCTCCAAACCATCTGAAGAAAGCCAAGCTGATGTTCTTCTACACTCGCTACCCTTCCTCCAACATGCTCAAAATGTTCTTCTCTGACGTCAAGGTAAGACCAGTTTCTATTTTTATCCTTCTTCCCTTTTGAAAAAGTCACTCTTGTTCTTTGGTGTAATTTTTTTAAATGTCTTGTTTGACCTTTTATAGTGTCTTCATTTAGAATAACATTAAAGAACATTTAATTAAAAACGCTTTGGTAGAAATATTCAGACTTTTCTGATGTTTCTCATTTTGTCTTTACGACCATAAACTTCATCACATCTTAATGGCAACTTAGTCCACTTCCTGCTGCATTTCCAGCTGAAAAATGTCATCTCTGTTTGCACATCTAGTTGAGTCTCTTTCAGCTAAGATGGAGCGTGTCTTTGAAAATGTCTAGCCAAGAAATTCTAAATTATATGTGAATATTAGGGAATAAATAGTTAATTTGTTCAAAATTATTTAAATTTCAGTAATTAACTACATAGATTTTAACATTCTACAAATGTAAATGCAATTAATTGTATCTTATGTTCCAGGTGGAACCTTTGTATGCTTATTTCTGGTACAACAGTAAATCTGATGCACAAGCGGCATCCGCTCACAACAAAGTTGCTTCTCTTTGACCCACTTTGCAACAATAAAGGGTTTTTCAATTAAAAATGTTACAATAAATTAATTACAGATCCTTCAAGAATTTGCTAAAAAAATTAATCAAGTTCAAGTTAACTATACTTTGATCTGAAACATTCTTTTAAAGCTGTAGTTGTACTTTTAGTGAAGCACTAGCTCTGTTTTTAGCTCCATCCAATTTCCTTTAAACTTTAACATGGGATGATGATTCGTCTGTAATAAAGCACACCCACACCATTATAATGCCACCCACATGTTACACCAAACCTTTCAATTATACAGACACTAAATGAAACAGAAAGGATGAGCTAACAGTTTAGCTCATGAAATTCAACTTTGAAGTTTGTGGTTGTAAAACTGTGCAAAAGTTGTAGTTCAGTTTGCAGGATACTGAATGTTGTTTATTATAATTATAGCTAACTTTTTTGGTAAATTTCCATCATATTCAGCTGATAATTTCTTCACTCTGTATCTGAGTGCATGTCTGTCTGTGCGTGTGTGTGTTTGTGTGTGTGTGTGTGTGTGTGTGTGTGTGCGTGTCTGTGTGCGTGTGTGCGTGTGCATGTGTGTGAAAACTTAGAGCGCAGATGGGTGTTCCAATCTGGCGCATTTTTGTCACATAATTAGAGTTTCTGGCCTTAATCGGCCTGGGGTTAGTCAGCAGGGTGGGAGGGGGGGACAACACCCACTTTCCCTCTCACACACTCCCACACATACTGTACAATAGCTTCCCCTGACTCACACACACCGTGACCTGAACCTTTTTGCCATTGTCACTCAAAACACACACAGCTATGTTTGTGTGTTTGCTCTCGTCAGCACAATTAAAGACGAACCTGGAGGAGCTGTGGCCGAGCAGGAAACAGACTCCAGAGATTAGGCTGAGAAAAGATAACAGACCCCCAGGAAGTTTGTCATAAGAGGGAAAGAAGAAAAATACGACCAAAGTGTGTGCAAATGATTGCATGTTTGGAGAAAATGAGAGAGGGATAATTGGGGAGGAGAGATGGGAGGGGGGGGGGGGGTAAAATGAAAGGGAAGACAACAGAACTGGAGCTATTAAACAAAAGCGCTGATTGTTTGGTGTTTACAGGCTGCAATGGGTTTTGCAAAGGAGCATACGGCTCCTCGACAGATTCAGGACGCTCTATTCAAATGAGCAACCACTCTCTCTCTCTTTCACACACACGCATGCATACACACACACACACCAGATGCTCTTTGGTTCATGTCTATGGTGACCACTTCCTTGTGGGAGTGCCACATCCTCATTGGCTGCCATGGGACACCAGGTTGCCAAGCAAACTCAAGGTTGCTAAGTTGACCTACCGCAGGAGAGCGAGTACCTGACTGGCCATCAACCAGGAGTCCATTAAGTGATTAAAAAGCTGCTGAAAGGGGGAAATTACCAAATTGCAACTAAATAAGTGAAAAACATCCAAAAATACAGGCAGCATAGCTGGTCCGCTCTTGTAAGAGTTCAATTAAAACAAGCAAAATTTATACAGTTATAACATTTGTGAAAATAGGTTTCCTTCACACTTGAAATTAAAGCCATGTTTGATGATTAAACTACAACAAATAAATGAAAAATGCACTAAAACACTAAAAAGTCTATATAAGTCAAAACCTTTTACAGAGATATGAATCCATAATATTAGATATTATTCTCATAAATTCACCTGAATTTTTTCAGGATATGTCACTCAGACTACCTCCCCTCTTTTTTAGTACACCCGAGTTTATACCAATTATACCACCCACATTTATACCATAGTATAAATGACAACAAAATGGTTTTGAAATGCAGCAGGCTGAAACATAACAGGGATATATTATTTTATTTTTAAATAAATCTAATCAAAACATTGAAGACAACTAATAACACTCATACCAACACTTATATCATTCTTTAATCAGATTATTTGACTATATTCTTAAATTTCCAAATTAAGTTGTTTTGTTTTTAGTTCTGCCTTATCAAATGACTTCATTAGAACTATGAAGTTTGTGCATCGCATAAGCTCAGGTTTTGTGTTGCAGATTGAAATGAGGTTAATAATTCATCCAGCCTGTGACTTTATCTCCAGATTGAGAGTCAGTAATCTGACGAATCTCTGGAAACTTACGTTAGGGAAATGTTTCTTCTGGCCACTTTGCTCAGCAGATGGCCACTGTTAAGTTTCTATGCAAGTCAAAACTGCTTTTGAAATGTTTTTTTTTTTTTTTTCATCGCTAAGGTTTGTTTTTTGACACTGACTGCAAACACATTTCATGTTTTGTTATATTAGAGCAACACACTTCGGTTGGGGTTGTAGATGTCTGAACAAAGGTTCAGACATCTACAACATTTCTAAATTGATATGTAAGGAACAATTTACATTTTTTAAGAACTAAAGCCAAAAATAGGCTTAAAAATGTTCCTAAATTTGAAAAAGAAGGAAAAAATAAATGTATGTACAGCTGTATATACATTTATTTTCTGTATACATAAAGAAAACAATAAATAAAAATGCAGGTTGTGGACATCTGCTTCTTTTGTTTCATAGCAGCGAGACGGACCACCAAGAAACTGTCTGTGGCAATTGACTTCAGCGAATATATAGAGCCACCTGCAGGCAAAAGTCTAAATACTTTGTGTCCAGTATGTGTGGGGTCTATAGAGCTGTTAGCTGCCCCTTTCTTGACCTTTGACCTGTGCCAGTCGTGAGTGGACGGACAGTTGATACTGATGTTTGTTGCAGTCTGGACCTGGTCCTGTTCTGTAGATGTGATGATAATTAAGAATTGAACACACACATTGTCGTTTTTCAGGAAATAAAGTCTCTTTTCAGTTTGTGTCTCATGCATTTGCATGTACAGTATAAACATTGATTTTAATGTATATACTAAACTTAAGTTTTAATTGAGTCATAATCCCAGTTAATCCATTTTATTTATGAGACACTTTCCAACTATTACTCTGCTTAATGGGGGAAAAAAAGTAAATGGTGGATAATCCTATTTGTGACAAGTGAGGCTTTTCTTTTTGAGGCTTTATTGAAGACAGGAGATAGCAGTCTGTGTCCCGTTTAATTGTCCCACTGCATTCATTATCAGAACTCTGAAATCCGGGGCAGTGTCTCTTTCCCGTTCCCTTTCTCACCCTCACTCCGGTTCCAACCGGCACCCCCTCCTTCCCAGGGAACAATTAAGTAGCATGTGTTAGAAGGGTTCACTGTAAGGGAATTAGGCCCTGAATGGCTCCGCTAATTGGACTTGAATGGACTTCGTCTATGGAAAACTGGTTCTTAAAGATGAGCCTCTTATGTACAATGACCTCCTCGCTGAGTGTGGGAAGTGGGTTGATCTGACAACTGTTTTGGGCGCAGATAAGCAAGCGTACGCACACACACACACACGCACACGCAAACACACACACCCACACACCTACACACACACACACACACACACACACACACACACACACACCTACACACACACCCACACCCACACACACACACACACACACACACACACACACACACACGCAAATACACACGTACAAAAGGAATCCTAGACCTCTTGCCTTCTGACCAGACAGTCAGAGTGTTAGTCTCGCCTTGCGAGAGTCAGTGAGAGTAATTAAGACCTCGTTAAGATTGGAGGAGGATTAATTAGATGCTTTCTGGCTCAGGGAGCTCCTTCGAAGTCACACACAGCTGACTATTTACACTCACACTAAGTTACAGGCATGCGGCGAGCGTGAAGCTGTGACGCATTTATCACTCCTGCCTCAAGAGGCTGAAGTGACATCTCAATGTATTCGCCTCAGCGGGAATCAATTAGAGTCCATGCTACCGTTTAGCTGTCCTGTCAATTAATTGCACAATAAGTTACACAGCCAATTTGGCAATGCCAGGAGAACATGAAGCAGCTTGTCCTAACAGATTCAACTGTTGCCAATACTCACCATAATGCTTCCTTGTAATAGTTTTCTTAAAAAACGCATACCCTTATCATAAGGGTGGCCAAAAAGTTTAGCTTTTAGCTATTTGGCCACAATGGCTATGAGTATGTTTGGAGGGCTCAAGCAAACACACACTAACGAGAACTGGAAACATGGAGGGTGTCCGCACCTCGAATATATTCCTTCAACAATGCATTGTTGAAGGAAATGTATTAGTCTGATCACTCCAAGTGCCTGATCACACAGGCATTTGGACTGTCTGATCAGTCCAAATGCTCATTGCCACTCAAACCCCTCAGCCATGGTGGGGTTTCTGCAAAGACTAAAGTTCTCAGTTGGAAAAAGTTTGGGAGTCAGTCTTGCCTCAAGCAGAGGATTTAGACTATCATGAGAAATGAATAATAGCTGAAAGAGTTAGATACAAGTGACTGAGGTTAGTTTTGTCTGTTGGGTGTCTGGGCTCTCCTTTAGAGACAGAGTTCAGTGTA